CTCGACTTATCTCTCTCTCTCTCTCTCTCTCTCTCTCTCACACACACACACACACACACACACATACACACACACACACACGCACACACACACACATATCCCATAGCCAATCTGTTACCAAGTCCTCTTGATTTTACCTTCATAACATCCCTCCCATACCCTCCCTTCTCTCTTCGATCACTTCTACCATCCCTTTCCCTCATTTGGGGCTTCTTGAGCTACGGGTGACATGTAGGTCTGACCATGTTATTTACTTGCTTAGGAAATTCCACTGGCTCCCTATTCCATTTAGGACAAAAATACGGACTCCTCTATTTGGCACTGGAAGTCCTTCACAATCTAGCTCTAACTTGACTTTTGTGTTACTTCACTGACTCTTCAGTCCAATCAAGCTGATCTTGTGACCATCTCTTCTCTCCATACCTTTGCATGTCTGGAGAACACTCTCTCCTCCTATCTAAGAATCCCTACATTCCTTCAAAGCTCAATTCAATTCTCACCTCCTACATGAAGCATTTCACAGTTCCTCCAGCCAGCAGTGCTTCCTCCCCCAAATTACCCTTGTACACATCTAGCCTGGTTAGGGGTAGGAGGTGCTAGGCTTACAAGAGAACAAGCCATTTTCTTATCTCTTTGTGTGGGGGGCAACTCCTCCCTTCAGGTTTAACTTTCTCTTTAGTCACCACCCACAGTTCCACACCTTCTGCTGAAGAAAGGGTTCTTTAAACCTCTTTAGGGAAAGATGATGGGAAGAAAAGTTTCTTGAAGCCATGGCTTCAGAGGGGCTGACTCTGGCACACTTACTAAACCGCCTACCAGAAAACCGTGGATTCATCCTATGTCCAGGACAGTTCAGATTCATTTATTCTCCTTTGCTTTAGGGGAACTATAATAATACATATCAACAAAATATCTTTTGTTCAGTTGGAGTCCCCAGTATCCATTCCCATAAATTAGAGTTTATTCCTCTCTCTCCCTCTGGCCAATTTAATCCCTCAGTGAAATATGTATATACAATGAACAATATCTTAGAGAAACAATTTTCCTTTTTAAAACACAAGCCAAATACAGAAAGTAAACACATCCTTAAGGAAAGGAAGATTGGGAATATAGGCTTAGCCCAGAGCCGATGAAGTAAGGGTCTACGAAGTAGAAGTATGATTGATTGTGTTCTCAGCCAATGGGGTCAGCATTCTGAGCTGTGATCCATGTGGTCTGTTCCTAGCTGGGCAGCAGCCAACCCCTCAGTCCCTGGGGTAGTATCCTTTGTGTCTTCAGTTGAGCTGCTGAAGACCTCACTTAATCCCCTCAGGAAGCTTCTCAGTTCTCACTTTTGAAAACTTTAAACTTTCTTCCTCCTTTAGGAAGGGAAGTCTGTTCCTTTTCAATCCTGCTTATAACTCCTGTCATTCTTAGATTTCTATCGTGTCCTGCAGGCATCCATCTCAGCTGCCTTCTAACTCTTTAGGGAAATGGGGTGCTGCATGCCTTTTAAAGTATTCCCTCTTTACCTCTACCTTCACAGTTTCCTTTAAAGTTTATCTGAAAACGAGACCTTTCCTAATCTTCCAGTTGCTAGTTCCCATCCCTACCAATTGCCCTGTATTTTCTTTGCATATGTTTATATGTGGGCATTCTTTTGCCCTCATATAATATTAGCCCCTTGAGGGCAGATACAATTTGGTTTTTCTCTTTGCAACCCCAGTGCCTGGCATATTACTAGGTGCTTAATAAACTCATGCTGATTAATTTGATAGTCTGGGATTCTAGGCCTTCCACATGTGTCTGTTAGTTTTGCAGTTTGATCTCTTTTAAGACTATTTCACATACTCTTCGTTCTAGCCAAATGCAATCATAGAAACTCAGAGTCAGAAGTACTTGTAGAGGTCATTGAGTCCAGCTAGCACACCTGAATGTAAATACCCACTTCAACATCCCTGATGAATGGTCTTATAGCCTTTGCTGTGAAGAGCCCCTGTGGGGAGAGGGGAGGAACCCATCACTTCCCCAGCTCTGATTGGTCAAAGGTCTTCCTTACATCAAGCCTATATTTGTCTCTTTGTAACATTCTCCTCTTACTCCTGGTTCTGTCCTTTGGGGCTAAGAGGAACAAGTCTAATTTCTCTTCTCAAATGAGCCAACGTAAAAAAGGAATTTTTCAAACTATTGTAACTACCTTACAGGATTGTTGTAGGACTTAAATGTAAAAGCCCTTTGCAAACTTAAAAACTATATAAATGCCAATCATTGTTATTATGATTCTAAATGATATCTCTTCAAATGAAAATAGCTATTTTATCCTGCCCTAAGTCTTTTCTTTTCCAGGCTAGATCCCTGCAGTTTCTTCAGATGGTTCTCATATGACATGTACTTGAGGTTCTTCTTCAGTCTGGTTGCTCCAGATAAACTGGACGGGCTCCAATTTATCAATGTCTTTTCTAAAATATGATGCCCAGAGCCAAACATAATTCTCTAGATGTGGCCTGACAAGGTCAGAGTACAGTGGTATTCTCTCTTCCTTGGTCCTGGATGCTGTGCCTCTCTTAATGCATCTAAAAATTGCATTAGCTTTCTTGGTTGCCATACCAAATTGCTGACTCATGCAGAGCTTACAGTCCACTAAAACATCCAGATATTTTTCAGACAAACTCCTGTCTAGCTGCACCTCCCCCATCTTATACTTGTGAAATTGATTTGAATGCAAGTATAAATTTAATTTTATTAAAATCTAGCCTAGTGTTCTAGCTTTGGGTCATCTGCAAATGTGATAAACATGCCATTTTTACTTTATCCAACTCCTTAATAAAAATGGCAAAAATGAAACAAAACAGGGCCAAGTACAGATTCCTAGGGTTCTCCACTGGAGACCACTTTCCAAGCAACATTAAATGATTAGATTACTCTGTCCCTGCTTCCTCTTACTTACTTCTCAACCTCATAATCTTGACTTTCAACCTCATCACTCCTCTCTCAAAAGTTACTAGTGAATGGCTCGGTTAAATGGTATAAACAAGACATTATTGTACCTTTCTCCAGGAGTTCAGCAGAGAGCTCACTGTAGCCACCACATATACTCACTTCTCTGTGGACTACCCTTCCTTGCCCAGTCACCTCCCAGTAATGTCCTCTGCCTCTCCCTTTCCAGCCTTGTTCTACTCCCCCATTCAGATGGTTGTATATAAGAAAAAGCACAGTTATCTTAAAATAATAATCCAGTGTGCTTGTATTTTTATGTGTGTGTGTGTATCTATAAGTGCACGTGCTTGCGCGCACACACACGTCTGTCCTAGAGAATAAACTACTGGGGGAAGTAGAGTTATAGGGAGGGACACAGAGGAAAAGAGACCATGGGCTATGCATAGCCATTGTATTTTATTGGATTCTCTGGATTCCTTATTTTACAAAATATACACAAGAGTTGAAAATGCAAAGCAGTCATAACCAAGTCCTAGTTGGGGGAGGAAGGAGGTTATTATCCCCCCCATCCCCTCAGATCACCGCTGGCTGAGAGGGCAGAGCTACCCAGGACAAATTGAGATATTGTAGGAATGGAGTGGAGGCCCAGGGTGAAGAGACAGTGCTGGGATTGGGCTTGCAGAGCCCTTCCCACCTCTGTATCAGAAGGGAGAATGCCTGAAGAGTTGTGGGATGGGGAAAAACCCTTTCTGGGCAGATGGGATGGAGCAATAAGAGTTCTCTGCTGAGAACATCAGGGCTTTCTTGGCTTCTCCAGGGCTCAAGGGGTAAGGAGAGGTGCAGAGCTGGAGGGAGGAAGCAGCTGAGCTGTGCTGGAGAGGGGTAGACAGGCAGTAGTAATGAGGGCCCCATCTGACAATGCTCCATACATATTCCCCCCATGCACAAAGCATTTGGGCATCTCTGATCCTCTGACAGTGTTCATTCTGGGATCTCAGATTCTGTTTTGTTTTGTTTTGTTTTTGGTTAGGCAATGGGATTAATAAGTGACTTGCCCAGGGTCACACAGCTAGTAAGTGTTACATGTGTCTGAGGCTGTATTTGAAGTCAGGTCCTCCTGAATCCAGGGCCAGCACTCTATCCACTGCGCCGCCGAGCTGCCCCTTGGGATCTCAGATTCTGAAGGGCCTTGACTCTCTTCCCCAGTCTCTGGCAATTCTTCCCTAGGACTTAGGGAATGGTCTCACTAGTTGGTCTTGCTAAAATGTGTAAAACTGACAGGAGAGGATACATAAGAGGTGATAGGACCTCAGTGAACTCCTGCGTGGTAGTCATTCCTAGGCCTTTTTCCATCTGTAGTACTCTTACCCCTACACTCAACCACCATCATATACAGGGAAACATGGGGAAGAGGAAATGCTTGGAGGGTCCCAGGAGAGAATCAGGGCAGGCAACACAAGTATCTGGAATTCCAGGTTCCTGTCCAAGGGGGCTTATCTTTTCATGCAGATATACTATAAGATCTTGATTTCTCACCTCTTCTTTCCGGAAAGGCAGGGATCAGAGTTCCTATATGAGCCAAAGTATTCCCAGACTCAGATTCCCCAGACTCAGGAGCTGGGGACTGGGAGGCTTCTCCAGAGTCATTTTTAACTTTAACACTACAGAGGACCCTGATGAACTAGTTTAGATGCTGGCCTGTGGTTTAAGACTCCCCCTTGCTACTAGGATCTCTTAGAAGTTCTCTGAAAGTGCCCAGTGGGGAGGTCCCTGGGAGAATGGTTAGTTTGGGGAAGCACCATAGCAGGGGCTTTCTCAGATTCTATTATTTGGTGGAATGGGAATGTGGGATGCTGCTTTGTTCCTACTTCAAACCCTAAGGCGGGGGAATGGACTTTCAGCACATGGAGCAGACAGGGGGCCTGGGTAACTGTATGGGAGTCTTGGACACTTCCAAACACTACTTCAGGATTCTGTCCTGTTTCCCAGTCCCCACCCACCCCCACCCCCTTTTACCTCAGAACCCAGATACCCCAAAGGGGTCACAGTCTCCTAGCAACCCCTGTGGGTTGCCTGGGCCCCTGCAGACACAGGATGGAGGCTGGAGATAGACCTGGGAAAAGAAGAGCGAGGTCCATCTGGGCAGGGAGGCCCAGGAGCTTCCCCTAGCACATGACAACACCTCTCTGTATCAAGTTAGATGACGTTGTCAAAGAGCTGCATGGAACGCATGATGTTCTCATCCTAGGGGAAGAGAAGAAGACAGAAATATATGGAGAGAGTGAGAAGACAAAGAAGGAGATCACCACGGACACATGATGGGACAAAGATGTAGAAAGAGAGCGAGATAGGAAAAGTGGAGCCAGCGATCAGATCCAGACAGGGAGAGACAGAAACTGGTGGGGGGATGAGAGGGTAGAGAAGCTTGCATCCTGGCCCCACATTCTCTTCCCTCTTTTGCCCCTATCTAGGAAAAGGAGTTTGACCAACCCTGTACTTCCCCTTCAGGATCTCATTTAGAGATGGTGGAGTCACACCATCCCAGGGAGCCTGAGAGTTAGAGGAGGGGGATCTTAGGGCTGTACCTTCTGGCAGGACTCAATGAACTCTTCAATGGTCACCACACCATCCTTGTTTCTGTCCATCTTCTGTAAGGATATGTAAGCAGGATCAGTGCCAAGGTAGAGGCATGAGGATGGGGGGTAGGGAATGACATGGGTACAGAATGCCAGACCTCCATCATGTCAACTCCCTCTCCATTCTAGACTTGGTCCTCCTTTATCCCTCCACATCTGGTCTCTTTTACACTGATCCATGATACCTCAACATTCAACCCAATACTGTCAATCCACTCCCATGCCTATCATCTAACCCTTTCACCTGAAAGAAGCTCTCCACATGTTCCCTTGGTGCCTCCTCTCGAAGGGCAGGATATGTATACTTGCCCATCATGTCATAGATGGACTTCATGATGTCCAGCATTTCCTGGGGGAATGAGAAATTGAAGGCTCATCCTCAAGTCTTTCCTCCCAATCACTTTGATAATGCAGCGGGGCAGTATTCTATCTTATAGCCCTCTGCCCCTTTCCCCATTAATAGTCCCCCTTCTGCCCCCCCTCAGCTCTTTGATACTTCCACATTTCTCTGGTGTCTTTCATATTAATCCCTAACTTCCTAGTGATCTCCCTCTTGGGCCTCTTACCTCCTTGGTGATGAAGCCATCCTTGTTGAGGTCATATAGGTTGAAGGCCCAATTGAGCCGATCATCTATGGTTCCTCGAAGAATTACCGACAGACCAGCCACAAAATCCTGGGGTGGAGGTAGGCAGAAAAAGTTCAGGAGATCCCTTCTCTCCCACCCTGATTCTGCCCAAAGCTCTCTGAAGTTGGAGCACCAGGAATACCCCGACCCCTCCTCCCCCCACCACACACACACCTTACCTCGAAGCTGACAGAACCATCATGATTGGTGTCAAAGGCATTGAAGAGGAAGGTGGCATAAGTGCTGGAATCTGGGGGGGGGTGATTAGGAATTGTAAGCACACTCTCCACAGTGATGGACCTCATTGTCCCTAAATTCTTCTGGAACCTGCTCGTCCAGAACTCCCTCAGACAATAGCTTCCTCCAAATTCTACTTCTTCCATCACTCCCCTGAAAGTTCTCCCTGAAGCTCTTCAGTCGCTCCAGGGTTCCTCCAAGACACAACTAGCTCTCTCCAGCCTTCCTAATTTTCTCCAGATCCCCACCTCAGAGTCCACAGTGTCGCCTGCCCTAAAGGGTGTATGGGTCTTTGAGGACCAGGGAGATGGAAAAATGGACAGAAACCCCCCTAGCCACCCCTACCTATACCGGGAGGCACCTCCTAATCTAAGGGCTGCAGGCAGGGGGAAGGGAGGTCCCTTGAGAGTCAGGGCCAGCATTCTCACCTCCCTGAGGGAAGAACTGGGAGTAAATCTGCTTGAAATTCTCTTCGTTAACGATGCCGCTGGGGCATTCCTGAGACAGAGAGCACAAAGTTGAGGGCAGCCTGGGAGAGGGAGTGCAGGGCTCCATTTCCAGTCCTTCAGCCTCACAAAGGCCAAGGACTCCTGAAAGTCCCTCCCACTCGAGGCAGATGGAGAGAAGGACCAGGATTCCCTGCCCAGCTGCCCCGTCTCAGTACCATCTGGCCTCTGTCATCCTCTAACAACTCAAATTCTCGAGGCTAGGCCCTGCTAGCCCTCGCTCTAGTTTGTGAAGCCCCAGATTAAGCCCAACCCGTCCATCCCATCTAAGTAAACATTCGATTTCTTGAAACCCCACCTTCAGCCCATCAGACCCCGCCCCTAGCCCCGCCCACACTCACGTTCTTGAAGCCCCTGTATAGGACCTGCAACTCCTTTCGGGTGAACTTGGTCTGTTCCTGCAGCTGTTCCAGCCCCTCGGGCCGGTGACACACAGTGGACAATTCAAACTCATCCTCTACGCTATCTGCAGAGGTTGGGGGGACAGCGGCGCCTCAGGTCCGGTACTCCGAGGCATCCTCCCCATACCCTTTGAAGCCCTCCTCCCCAAATCTTCCCTCCTCCTTACCACAAGGAATCTTCCCTTCTCTCACTGGGAAGTGCCCAAGTCCCAGGGACAGAACTTTCTCCACATTCCCCAGAACACCCTCCCTCATAGGAAACCAAGGCATGGAGAAGAGGCTACAGTCCCCCACCCCAGTTCACTTGCTGCCATCTCTTCCTCATCTCCTACCTCATCTCCATCCCCATCCCTCTTTCCCTTTTCTTTTTCCTCTCTCTCTTCCTGTCTACCCCAGCCCTCTTTCTCACTACCAGCATCTCCCTTGACATCATCCCTAGCTCCCCTCATCCTCATTGTATCTATTCACCCCACCCATATGCATCTCAAGCTCATAATGTGCAGAAATAATTATTGTCCTCACCTCCCACTTCCAAGCCTTTCCATACTTTTTCCAATTTCTGTTGAGGGCACCACTATCCTTCTAGTCCCCCAAGTTCCCAACCCCAGAGTAATCCTAGATTCTTCACTCTCCTTCTCCTTCTATATCTACTCTGTTGCCAAGTTGTGTCCTATAGGGATTCCCTATTCTCCATTCCCATCTTCCCCATCCTCACCTCTATTCCTAGATCCATTTCCACCAGTTAGCCTCTCCACTCTCACTGAACCAATAACTTTTAAAAACCAGAGCCCAGTATCCCTTCCAGGCCCTCCCCAAGTAATTCCAACTTCAGATCCAAGGTTCCATTCCCCTGTATATGGCTCTGGACCCTCAAAGGATATATCTGTGACCCTTACTCTAAGTCCCTCCTTTCTCAGCTTTCCCTCCAACCCCCTCTCCAGCTCCACCCCCTGCTAGGATAGTGAGTCAGCTAGACCCTGAGAAATCTCCAGATCAGAAAAAAATACATCAAACAACTCACCTAACACATATAATAGAATTCAAAATACACATTACACATAAGACAGGACACATGTTGCTGACAGCACAGCACACAGATACCACAAACAAGCCCCAAAGACACTCAATCTGAGATAAATACCAAATAGAGAAACACAACACATCATAGGATGCATGCCTTTGCATGAGAGAAAGGCCAAACACATTGAACTGTTTTTGTGCCTAATACAGTACTTGGCACATCATTCTATAAAAGCTTGTTAATTAATACACCAGGAATCATAGAAACACAGGGACACTCAGTTAACCAGCACAGAGCCTAGCTTAATAAATGCTTGTTGGTTGTTTGATTTCCACTCTACTACTACCTCCCCAACCAGTGATCTTTTCTTAGTCTCCATCCTCCTGCAGCATTTCACACTATTGATCAGCCCTCCCTTCTGATTGCTTTCTTCTCCCTCAGCCTCAAAGGCAAGGTATCTTCCCATTGTCCCTTCTCTCTCTGGAACTGTTCCTCATTTGTCTCCGTCATTGGCTCTTCTTCCTGACCCTTGCTCCCTGAAGGTTTGTTATAGGCTCTGTTCCTTTTTTTCACTCTACATTCTCCACTAGCAACCTTATTCACTTCTACAACTTTGAATACCCCCTTTATGCAGGTCATCGCTGAATCTATATCTCTAGTCCTGACCCCTTTTGGAGCCACAGATCTTTAAAGCTGAATTCAAATGTCATCTTGTCCAAGAAGCTTTCTTCGATCCCCAGTAATTAAAGCCCTTCCCCTACCTCTACCCATTACCTTACATAGCACCTCTCCGATGTACTTGTCACACACTATTTTGTACAATAGGTATTAGTGTATGTGCTATCTCTTTCTATTAGACTGTAGCACCTTGATAGTAGAAACTAAGCTTTGTTTCAGCACCTAATTCAATACTTTATGCACAATAGCTGCTGAATTAATATTTGTTGGATTTCAGTTGAATCTGGATTAAATGCTGTAGCATGAGAGGGTCAGGAAGGAAAAAGAATTGATTCTAGCTGGAGAGGTTAAAGACACTATCCTGGAGTGGATGACATCTGAGCTGGGCCTTCAAGAAGGAGAATGATTCAATAAATGGACAAGAAAGAGGCCACAAGTCTATTTCAGGGATGGAAAGACCTCTGCATATGCACAAAAGTGGGAGAAGGCAGTCCTGGGTGGGAAGACAGGGTGGTGCAATGTGAGTGGCCCATAGAGTATATGAAAGGGAGTAGTGTTGTGCTCAGCACTCCATAGGGTGGGATACTCCAGTCCAACCCCCTCTATGCTGTGAAAAAAGGTGAAAAGGTTAAGTTGGTGCCAAATCGTGTTATGGCTCCCCATTAGATTATAAGCTGAAGGACAGGAATTGTGTATTGTCCGATGGCCCCCAGTGTTGAGCTCAGTGCTCTGAAGGCAGTAGATGCTTAATATTTGTTGAATTGAACCAGACGCGTATATACATGATGACATATGGAGAGGAACAGATACACACAGAGGGAACATATACACATGTGACTGTGGTTGGCATTGAGGGATACAGAAATAAATGGAATATGGTCCCTTCCCTGAAGGAGCCAATCAGACACTGATACAACATACCTAGAAGGACATATACACAAGGATTCAGCTATACAGGAACACACACACACACACACACACACATATACACAGATAGTCACACAAATAACAAGGAATCTAGACTCAGAGAAAGGGACATAGTTTCCCAGGCATACAAACCAGGGCACACAGCCAAAGGGGTGGATCACAAGGTTGCATTCAATACCACTGACATAGGCCTGATACATGCAGCTCTAGACACTGCCCCCACACTTTGTTTCATTTCTCTTTTTGCCCATCCTCAGCCCCACTGACTGCTCCCCAATACCAGGGTCTGGGTAAATGGAAGTGGGATGAGTTCGGTCAACCAAGGCAATGAGAAGGGCAGGGGAGGGATTGCCCACCTCTCCCCCAGGCCCCCATCATTGATCTCCCCTTCACACTCCAGCTGCCCACCCCACCCCCACTCCCCAGGACAGAAGGAGAGGAGGGTGGGCACTTGCTTTCGCTGACTGAGGGCAGGGCCTGGGGGCCACAGCACGGCAGCAGTTTGAGGAATCGCTGCTTCAGCGCTTTTTTAGTGGGCCTGGGTGGGTTCCCTGGGAAGAAAGAAGACCCCAAGGAAAGAAAGTTAACTCCCCTAGAACACACCAAGGTGGCCCAGTCCCCCTCCCTGCCACATACAAAGACTCAGAGACTCACAAGCAAGGGGAGGGACTGGGGAAGACACTGGCGCAGAAGGGAGGGGTCTAGGAGGGCTCAAGGATAAAGAGGAACTGTGGTGAAGATGAGGAGGCTGCAGGAAACTTGAGGGACATTCCAGGAGGAAGGGCTGGACTCAGATGATTTCACTGTAGTCTAACATTAAATGAGTGTCATGCAAACTGTATGCAAATATCATGCAAACCAGCATATGTTATTTGAAGTCAACAGCTCAGGCATTTTTAAAAAAATAAAGGGGCAGCAGCTCCAAAGACAAAACTTCACAGACTTGGAAAGGACCTTGGAGACCATCTAATTCAACCTCCATATTTTGGAAGAGTGAAGGTGAGGAGAAAGGGGAAAGGGGCATATGATAATGCATGATGCATTAAGGTGGGGAAGAATTTGGATAGACTTTGTCCCCCAAATTCCCTGGACCCCGTGAGGAAGGAGGTGTAAATACCCCTTCTAAATTCTTTCTATTTAATCACTTCCCTACCACTCACAGAAAGGATGGGATCACAGTAGGCACAGAGACAACTTTTCTCCAGCAGAAGTACACAGCTAAACTGTTTGCTATGAACACATAGTGTACACAGACATACAAACACCAAAAGACATGCATTCATTCAACAACATTTATTAAGTGTGCTACTATGAGCAAAGCACTATTCTAGGCACCAGGAGATACAAAGATTGCTAAAACCTGGTCTCTGCTCTCAAGGAGCCAGGCATACATTGATACACAGTGATAGACACATGATGTTAGATACACACAAACACATAATCACACACAGACAGTGACAGAGTGAAACATGGTAACATATAATGACAAAGACAATTACAACGATACAAGATGCCACACAGACATACAGTGAAAGATACATAGTGATATACACGGACACCCAGACGCCCAGAATGACGCACTCCTGAGGCACTGATCATCTGAACCCCTGTTTGGTCTTCATCATATACTGCTTTACAAAATCTGTTGCCTCTTTCCTTTGTGAGCACTGGCTCCCTAACCAGACCAGGAATGCCTCCAGAGCAGAGACTTTAGTCTCTCCTTCTTCTCTTTCTCCTTGTGGTTCCACAAGGACTAGGTGGGGGAGGAGTATAGAGGGAGGAAGAGGAGGAAGGAAGAGATACTCAGTGAATGTTTCTTGATCGTTCAGCTGTACAGGGACGCACGACTTTGTTGCCTGAAATATATGTTGATACACCTACAGTCACACACAGTCCCATAGACCAAGTCACAGATACAGTCAAACATGCCCAAATAGCCATACCCACCCACACAAGTAAAACACCCCCTCTATACCATATCCCAAACACACATGTGTGCAGGTACACAGTTATAGATATAGACACTTATGTATCAGGTCACAGTCATACAAAAAACCAGAAATACAGACTATAAACACAGTCACATACAATCACCCATCAAATTACAAAATAGTCATCTACTCCCACAGTCTCCTTATTCTTCAGGGATTAGACCAAGGCTTGATATCATCTCTGTTTCCCCTGCCCCTGTCATTGTCCCCTTTTTGGCTCCCACCCCCACCCCCAAGGGCAGAGGATCGATTGACTTGTCTGGCCTTCTGCCCAGGGCTCCATTAGCTGGGGCTCTGGTTTCCCCAATGCCAGATTGAGCCTGTGGTCTCCCTGCTGCCTTCCGGGAGTGAGGTGAGTGGGTTGGGGGAGGGGGGAGTAAGGAAGCAAGCCCTAAGCTCTCTGTCTCCTTATCCTTTCACATTAACTTATGGCCTCCGTTTTCCTTTCTGTTCTCTCTGGGAGTGGGTGTTTAGGTAAGACAGAGTGGAAGGATCTTGAAAGAGTGAAGGACCATCTCTAGCCTTTAAGATGCTTGGGTCCTTAATCCCACCCACAGATTTTCCTAACTTGGAGTCATACATCTCCTCAGCCAGCCCTGCCCACTTCATTTGAGTAATTTCTCTCCCCTGCTCTTCCTTTTCTTTATCTTTATTCTCATCACTGCTTTGGGCTCTAAGAGAGGAACAGAATTTGGTGCAGGGAGTTACTCAGAAGCCAACCTTTTTTATTCACTGCCTCTTTATTCTTTATTCATTGCCTTTATTCACTTGCCAGATAGCAAGACCCTTGATTCCAGCCTAAATAGTTGGCGTTGATATAGATTTCTAGGGGTGAAGATTGCCCAATTTCCCTGTTTCAGTATTTTGCCCCAGTCCCCTCCACTTGAATCTGTAAGTTCTCCTTTGTGTCTAGGTTTTATCCTTCCTGCTTCCATCCCATTTGCAGAAAGAGGGCAGGTAGGATAGGGCTGAACCCAATGATGGAATAGGGGCAAGGATTTTCATGAAAAGGGAGGGACAAGTTATGGCTCTTGCCATAACTCAATCTCCTAAATCTCAATCACTTCTCCCTTCCTCCCCAGAGCCACAGATGCCTTTGGGGAATTGATTTCCCATCCATCTTATGCCTTAGCCTTGAAGGTCACTACCTTTTGGGGGATGAGGTGTCCTAGGACTGGGAATGATAGAGGATGGACAGCTCCACCATGAAGTGCCCCCATGGAGATCAGGAGAGATCACAGGTTATCTAGACCTGAAAGGGACCAAAGAAGTCATCTAATCCAACTCCCTCCTTTCATTTTACAAATAAGGAAACTGAGGCACAGGGAGATTAAGTGACTTGCCCAAGAATAAGGTCACACAGGTAGTAAAAGTCAGAAGGGGGATGTGAACCCAGGTCCTCCAAGGTACCATTTTCCCTCTCCTCCCCATGTGAACCAGAGTTCAGAGCTTTTGCTTCCCTCCCTCTACTCATGTACTCAAATACGCCAAAGTCCATGGACATGCAATTTACACAATTCACTGTCAAAGCCATGGAATATAGGACTTGTGAAGTACAAATACAATTACAACAACACATAATTACACTCACAGTTACACACATAGTCACAGAAATCACACTTTCTAGACAAGCACAATCATACTCAGTTATATAGTAACACAATCTCTCCAATTCAGTGGTCTCTGATGAATCAACTCAAGCTCCCCTACTAAGGTTGGAATTGATTTCATCCTGCAGGAATCCCCTGACCATATTCCTTTTACTTTGTAGCCTCAGCCCTGTTCCCCCCCAAACCTTCAGGGTATCCCCCATATTCTTCCTCATATACCCCCAAGCAGATCTTCCCCATTAACTCCACACCACCCTCACTCTCCAGCTCATTCCTTGCCCCAAATTAGAGGGAAGGAGAGAGGTCTCTGGTTCACTGGTGGTGTTAACTAGTGTAGGGCACAACCACCCAACCCCTGCCTCCCCATCCCCCAACCCATCTCACCCTCCTGGCTCCCATTTGGACTCCTGGGTTACCTTCCAAGGAGACAGGCTCAAAAAGGCCAAACTGCTCCAGGACCTTGACAAAAAGGGCCAGGACCACAAGCACGGCCACCATCTCCAGCCCCTCTAGATTCATGGTGGGGGAAGTGGGGGCATGGCCCCTTTCCCCGAACCCCCCAGCTGATACCCCCTGCTTTGCCTGCCCTTGTCTACCCCTTTCTCCTCACACTCTCTCTCTCCCTCTCCCTGTGCCTCACCCTCCCACTGGCTTCTCTCCCCTCCCTCTCCTCCTTCCTCCCTCCGCCTTCCCCATCCCCCGCCCCCACCCCACCCCCTCTCCCAGCCTCCCAGCCTCAGCCTGGGCCTCTTCCTCTGCCGGGGGGAAGGTACTGTGGTATGGAGTGCTTTGGCCCAATCCAGTCAGCCAAGGGGAAGGTCAGTAAGTCAGCCCTGATCCCAGCCACTGTCCCCCTTTTTTTAGTGGGTGGCAATGAGATGGTAGGGAAGGGTCTTAGAGAAAGACAGGGCGGTGGTGGTGCGGAGACAGATAAAGGGATGAGGGAGTCAGATAGGGGATTGGGGGAAAATGAGCGATAGGCATAGAAAGGAAGATACACAGGGGTACAGAGGAATAGGAAACAGAGAAGATGGGGAATGGGAGGTGTGGGACAAACTGGATTAGAGATAGACAGAAGAATGGGGGAGACAAGCAGATGGGAATGAGAGCACTTGGAGGACAGACAGAGAGGGAGACTGCTGGGGATACAGACCAAGATAGATGGGGAGACAGACAGGGAAATGGGGAGAAAAATGAGGGGAATAGAGGTAGAGCAGGAGACTGATAGGTATAGTAGGGGCAATGGGAGGAGGGGCAATCAGGGCTAAGTGGGAGTGGCTACTCTTTGCTGTCTTTAGACGGAGGGCAAAGCAGGGACAGATAAGAGATAGAACTGGAGGTAAGAGATAGATTACATTCTGCTGTATGTAAAAGTACTCGTATTTGAATATGTACCAGTGACTGCTGATATGTATGTGTGTATATAATACTTGCTATATATGTATCCTAGATAATTGTATAGACATAAATATAAAATTTGCCTATGTCAGTATGGGCAGGTTTTTGTCTATGAGCGTCTTTGGGAATATGTGGAAAGAGGATATGTATATTTGTGTAGGTGGGGGAAAGGGGGAGTTCCTCGATAGAGGTAGTAATGAGGGGCTAAGTCAAGGCCTTTGGATCTGCTAATTATCCTGATTATACCTGTTTCCTCTAAGGCCTCAGTTTCCCCCTGGGTAGAAAAAGAAAGGCATCATTTCTCGCCTAGCTGTCTCTCTGGCAACAGCAATCAATGCTGCAGATAGCATGATAGCAGACTAGTAAGATTATTGGGGGTTCCTCTCCCTAGGCCTCCTCTGTGCCCTAAACCTGGGGACAGACATGAGGGAGCAGAGTCTGGTAGGGGTGCAGTTGAGTCTAGCAGTGACCACAATGCTTGGATCCCCAGGGTTTCTCTGGTCCTAGCTAATGAGATAAATAAAGAAACCTGAGCCCACCAGGATCATACCA